GTCGCATCGACCTCTGCTGCGCGTCGGTCGATACTGCCACAGTGCTGTCTTCGTGCTTACTTTGAGGTATCCTCTTAATAACCTCATATTATTCTATGAAAATTTCCGAGCTCTATCATAAGTGGAACATACTTAAAACAGTGGTCAAAATTAAAAACCTGCATTGTTGTGATGACTAAATTTGCATATTTGCATATATTTTGAATAATTAATAAATCACACAGTCAAGTATAAAATAGTTTTAGAACTCATACTTGACGTCAAAAAATTGGTAACAGATAGTTTCGTGACCATTTAAAAAAATGCATTTAAATTTTCGCATTCCATTTATTAGTATAAACTTTCATAAAAATATATAGTTTGATTTGGTTTAAAATAAAAAAAATAATACGTGTGAATTTTACTTATTTTACTAAAAACATCTACTACATCCTTGAAGACATATTAGAATTAGCGATGACTTGAATTGATTAGGTAGTACAAAGAATTCGATATATCTTACCAAGTTCAATTGGAATACAACAATAAAACATGTGTCTCATAATTAATTTCACTGCACTGTTCTCGTAATTCGTTTTGCAAATATATTATTATTAGAGTAATGTTAATTATAAGAAGTCCTTTGAATTTCTATTCTATACAGAAGATGTCTAATGCAGAGATTCGCGTTGTCGGTGACAATATGCATATGATATTCACAGCTGGGATTGCCGAACACTTTTTTTCAGTGTCAATGGAAGGGACGACCCCCAAACATGAATACAAGCGCAAACGTAATGACGATGTCTCTACATTCAGTCAAATCACATCTGCCGTTTATCACTGTGCCGAAACAACTGGTAAGGTCATACACTGCGGTGTCGAGATATATCGGCTATATAAATCCTTACGTGAGATCAAGCAGGACTTATCAAATCAACCTAGTTGTAGGAAAAACGTTCACTCCAAATCGCCACCTTGAAAATCACCATGAGGAGATATTTGACTCAGTATGGCAAGCCACAGGGGTCTTAAGTCCAAAGTTAATATACTATGTAGCAGATGCACTACTATTGTATGTTCAAACAATATTATATTATGTGCAGCTTTATATTATTATCATTATGCACCGTTATATCGTGTACTTTCGCTATGTTTTTGAGATTGAACACTATTATATTATGAACTTTCTTTATGCCATGATTACACTATTGTATATTGTATATGTATATTCACCATTTTATTGTGATAAAACACTATAGTATGTACATCTGTGGTATTATTATTACACTATTATCATCAAGAGCATTCGTTATGTTATGTAACACCATTATATTATTACATTCGATACAACATTATCATTAAACACTATTATATTATACATTATCTTATTTTAATTCTAGAATATTATTACAATCGCCATTTTATTACTTTCAAATTATATTATTTTATATAAATTCGCTATTTTGTTATTTTCTAATTATATTATATCATATTATATACATTCATCATTTTATTGTTATAAAACACTGCATATTATGACCATTCAATATTTTCTGAATATAAGATATTTACAGTATTATGTAAATACAATACTATTAGGCATATTGTTTAGTTGGTCATTAATGTACACTATTATGAAACGTGTGATATTTACATTATTATTATTAAACACTGTTATATTATGCACAAACTGCATTATCTGTGGTTCGTTCGTCAGTACACTCACTGCATGCAATAGTACATGGTACATATTATAATATATTGAGGGCGTAATTTATATTTACGTGTGCATTGAGTAGTATATTATGGGCAAATTGTAGTTTATTATGGACAACGACCCGTTTCTCGTAAAGGGTGCACTTTCTTTTCCATTGGACTGTCATTTTGTTGGAGTGTGCTCGCTGGTTTGCATAATGGAAACAGTCCAACAACATTGTTCCAACGTTTTGTCAGCGAGAAAGTTGAGGCCGACACTATTCTGTACATGACATATGGTGAATTAATCATCCTTGGAGTATCTAGAATCGGGAGTTTGTATCCACAAGGCTGGGCTGTAATATGCACAGCAGTATCCAAGAGATGGTGGAGAAGTTGACCTCCGACGAAGAATTACCAGACGAAACTGTAGGATGTTAGATTCACACAGTTGAATGTGAATGGGGTGGTGAGATGCTGCATTTTTCTGGGCGGTATACGAAATTTAAAGGTAATTGATTGTCCATGGCTTGTTGCAGACTTAAAAGCCAACATATGCCAGCAAAGTAACATATACCTTCGACCAATTCAAAAGAATCTCTTAACTATAAAACCGTCGTTTCTGACTTTATGAAAATTTCATTTTATTTGTTGAAGAAGTGTACAACTGGTTACATATTTGATACGCAGTACATGTAAATACCCTTCAATCAAATCATATACATATCTGTATTTTTTCCCATGTGATCAAATCTGTATAGTTGTTTGTAATGTTAGGTCTTCTTGTACAAGGAAGAATAACGATGGAACAGCCACCGTTCATCAAATCACGAGGTGCATCGCCGTGTGTCGCAATGTACAGTTGTATAAAAGTACATGAATTCTTCCACGTCAACTTGGGATGGTACTAATATGTTGCTATCTGATGAAATATTTCAATTTAATAGAGTCGAAACATTGTAAAACATAAAACTATTTTCTGAATGAAATAATGCATGAACATCTCGGTGGTCGTCTAGTTAGGTCAATGGTATATTTACGATAATATTCATCTACGAGTCCTCCACTATAGGGTATGGATTTCCCTGGTAAATGGTATCAATAAACACTTTATTTATAGTTTGTAAAAGCGGTATACCCTATAACTATTTGCAGATTCTTTGGACCCTTTTCGTATAATGGGACATTCAATTCCCATGCCCATAATAACTCGGGGAATGGTTGATTGTGTTATCATGAAATCACTTTAAAGTTGATTTTTTGAGAACCATTAGAGATTACAATTGATTACAATTTCAGAAGATATGTCATCAATACTTGGTGATTTATTCAATTCAGACAGTAGGTTTTCAAGTTTAACTATCAAAATGTCAGCCTGCATTTCGTCAAGATCAGCATAAAATCATTTAGCTTTGTTGACACTTATTTCCGAAGTCAGTGGCCATGGCCAGCGGACTGGTTAAATTGTAGATTGTCTCTCAAGACCGCAAGATACAAATTACCAGAATGTTTTTGTTAATACTTATGAAATTCACTTAGTGAATGATATGAAAACTCTTTCAAATTGACTTGTCATTTGAACGCATTGGTCCTCGTCGACGTCCACTTGAATATCGTGTTATAAAAACAATGTATTTGTGTACGCCGCATGGGACATGGCACGATAAGACAACGAACAATTAAACATTCGTTCGCGAAAATGATTCAATGTTTTCGAATCTCCCGTTATGCAAATTAGCAGTTTCCTTTCCAATGGTTTAAAGGTGATTATAACTTGATTTTTTATACTAGTACTTGAATCCATACATACAGTTTAAACCCCCTATATTCCGTTGCACTGTGACGTCATTGTTTACATTTTTGCTGATGGAAAATGTCGTTCGCTAATCAACACGGGCTCGCGATCTGTTGCGATAACATTTCCTATAAGTTGATTTATTAACAAAACACATACTTGTACATGTAATAGCAACAACAGCAATCAACGCCGTTATGTTATCTTGGAGTGCGAACGACCCGTTTTTGACAACCAGTTACTGCGCACATGCACGCAGACAGAAAGTATACTAATACGAGGGCCTACATCGGTTGTTAGATAAACAATGTACATAAAAACAACTGTAATACGCAAGTTGTAAATTTGACTTCGCAAGAGTACTACACAAAATTAAAAAAAAAAAACTTGAAATGTACCCAAGTATGTCTACTTTGTTGTCGGAATATGGGTGTCCCCATACTACTTTCAAAACCAAATTGTTATAAACATTGCAATGGCAGCATTTTTTTGTCAAATAATGAAAACCTGTAATGCAACTGTGGGGGTGAAGACCCCGGGGTGAAGACATGCCTCATAGTTATGCGTAATGATGCGGTGGAACCGACCACATGTCGTGTTTGAAAGGTACATTATATTGTTCTGAATATTTGTTAAAAACAGGGTGTCACATAATTAACCCACTGATCAAAAATATGTGAATCGACAGCTCTTCATATTCCATTCGTAGGTAGTTGTCAGTTAAACTTTACCGATAGAGGTCACCACAGTGGCAAACTGGCAAACTGGCAAACAAATGTGTTGTCAATCTAACGAGTACGTCCAAACATGTCATTAACACACCATTCACTGTATGCTCGTTTGATTGCTCAGCAATGACAAGTTCACGCCCGAACTTCCTTTCCAAACATTACTTTTAGATAACAGAGAACAGCTTTACACCGTTTTTACCTATTATAGTTATTTACGTGACCGTGGCCGCGACAATAGTGTTTCCCAAATATGTATATATATATATGTATATGTATATGTATGTCATAGATGCATATGCGATCAGGAACGCGTTTCAAGCATCAGTGTTACGGGCTAAAAACAGTAATAAATTAAGCATATTCACAGACCCATAAATTATTTGAACCATGACTCTTGAGGTAAACAACGAGCAACAGAAAAACAAATCACCCCAGTGACTATCTAGAGTGCAAGACCACTGGCACGGCAAAATTGATGGCGCAATGCTACTTGTCGAGGTGTTGAATATTAAGTAATATGCTACCACAACTGGGGGCGAAGTCCAAACGGCATTGTGAGAGCAAACACGCAGGGTGACGTGAGCTTCTTGTAACGCTACGCTCGGTTATATGAACGAGTCCGGAGAGTCGACCGTGCCTCTAATAACAATGAAGTAGATAAAGGGGCATTGTGTTTTTTTTTTAACGTGTCACTGCATAAAAAGGCTGTGTTGTGCGTACGGTTCGGTCGGGTCACGTGACAATTGATTGAACTGGGTTCATGCATAAGCAACGAGTGTATTGGAAACGTAGTCAGTCGGACGTTGCCTGCTGTATACGAACGAGGAGTGCTGTGTTGTTAGTGACCGTGTGTGTGCATGGCCGCTATACAGGCGCTCTTTTCAACAACCAACGCTGACCAAGTAGGTCACCTTCAAAGGACATACCGAACAGTTACGAATTTAAAGGTGAGTAGCTTACCTCCAAAAAACTGCTCCGATTGACGGAGCTTTAAATATTTATCCGAGACGGCTCGTGTGACGGTATATGTTTGGCTCGTCAGTGTTATGTATGTGTGTTCAACACCTGTTGACGACAGACCTATCGAACGCGCGTTATCGCCTTATATTTCCATAATATGTAACTGATACACCATGGCAGAGTCACTGTCAAATTTCGGGCGGGGGGGGGGCTCCCTACGACGGAGTGACTGACTGCCTTGGTGTAACCTTAACGCGCCCATGCCCTGTTCACAGTGAATTTGTTCGGTCACTACCGAATTAAAATTCCTGTATGGATTCCGTCACCAATGGAGTTCGTACACTCCAGGTGATAATAACCACTTCTGAACTATTAAAAAAATATGCCCAGAACTCACTGAATAAAACGTACGCCGCATTGTGGTTCCAGTCGCTAGTCGTCTTATAATTGCAAAAACTGCAGGGCAATTATCGTCTTGGAGCAGCTCCAATATTTTTAACACTTCGTTTAATTGTTGGCAAACAAAAGCATCTTTTACTAAAGGCGCCGTTATACACAAATACAGCACGGATACCATTGAGGTGAGCTCAATGCACACAGGGCTCGATTAAAAGCCCGTGCCACATGAAAAGCTCGATAAAATACCATATACTTTTATTTCAGGGCACGCATACTCAAGACGACAAGAGAACGCCACAGCGCGTGAAATGCAAAGCAACACAACGCGCTCGAGAAACACATTCATCAAAATTCGTTCCCAAACCGAGAGATTACTTGCTAACGGAAGCGTTATACAACTAAACACAGATTAGGCATTATTGAATTAATTCCTATATCTGAGTCGGGATAAAACAGCCCTAACCTCAAAATGATTAATAATAATAATCCCTTCTAATTTATTTTCGACTTCCAATTCAAATTACAATATTAATGTAATTTCTTGTATATTATATCTGAATAAAAAAATACATTATTTAAAACTAAAGTGGACGAAGATTGGACAATTGTTCAATAAGCTACCTTATTGTGGGTTGAAAACGACACCGCCGTGCGATAAATCGACCATATCTAAAGAGAAAGGGCAGCATGGACTAAGTTACTTATATCATAAATTAATTCCCATTATATTTAGATAATTATTCTATGTACATCCAACATATTTTATTTTCGTTCAGTTTGTGGCTACGTGATATTGTGACATGTTGAAAATAGATCGTGGAAAAAAATGTTAAATAAATATGATTGATATCATTGTACGTATTTTATTTATTTGGTACATATGATATTACATGGTGACTTGGTCGGTGTGTAGAATGGGGAAAGTTTGCCAGAGTCACGGTGCTGTGTTCAGAAACGGAGCCTCACTTACAAATGCGCCGCGTTTAATTAGTTTGCCATTGAATATTGAATTACCAGCGGATTGCGTGATACATATGACGTAATTAATATGACGGAAAACATGAGATGTAAAAATATGAAAACCATATTTTAACAATGATTGGTCCAACGGGGTTCAGTTTTCTGTTGACACTTGCATTTTCTTAACGCTTTTTAACGTACCAAGTCATTAATATTAATTAAATACCAAGTGTTCATTACAATTTACTATTTCCCAACATAGAAAGAATGTTAATTTCGCATAAGTTGAAAATGTAAGCATAACAATATGTGTGTTTAACCAGGAAGTGCCGCCATCTGTATGCTACGATCATATTACAATTCGTATGCGTCACAGGCACGGGGAAACATCTATATAATATTTATTCTGAAACAAATTCAGGGAGCGGCATGCTTGTATTTTATAGTGTTTATTAAATACAATACCGGAAATGCCATCTTTAGATTTGGGATGGGATTTTAGCCAAAAAACCAGCTTATTTTAAAATAGCGAACTGATATTTGGAGTCAGTACTACCTACCAGTACTACCTGTTGCTATTTTTGAAGGACTTTTCATTTTTGTTTGTTTGTTTGTTTGTTTTTAATTGTGGGTACTTGACTTATTGTTTCTATGGTAACATATCCCTTTTTTCAAGTTGTATACGCTGTCGTATAAGACGGGAGTTCAATAGCAGTACTGTGGTGCGTTTCGTTCTAGCGGGTTTGATGTTGCAGGGATATCCGCTAGATGTGTTTAATTGACTGGTTTGCGAAAAAAAAAAAAACGTATTCGGTAGGTTTTAATTCAGTGCAAGTTATTATCAGGAAAATAAGTGAAAATACAACCTAGTGAATAGTTAAGTCCTATACAGATTATGTCCTGCACAAGGGCTCGTCAGTTTAGCTTGGCTTTGGGTTAGTTCGGCGCCACTCATACCACAATTAAATTTGTTTCTTTCTCTTTGTGACAGTAAAGCGAATCAATCAAATGAAATGAACAATGTTTGATGTTGTTTCCAGCTTCGTGTCATTTAAATGAGGGTCATCAGAGGTTAAGTCGACACTAACAGCTTGGCTTGGGATACTCGTGCAACATAAAACAAACTGACTGAGTATGGCTACCTTTACGGAATGTCTTAAAAGTTATATTGCCTTGGTGGGTAAGAAATTGTTGCCATGTGACTATTGTTATGCAAATTTTAAAGTATAGCCACGTGACAACAATTCTTAATAATGACGCGTAGCCGAATGCACGTTACGATACCCCGACGACACTCGAGCTTAATTCATGAACACACATGCGTTATTCAAGAAGTATGTAAGACCGGTTTCGATTTTCACCGCAAATCACTCACTAATAAGATACGATGAAATCCATCCAGAGTCACGGGTAATGGCTTCACATGATACCGGTAGCACATCTCTAGTGCGTGGTGTGCCTACAAATGAATTGATATGCTCACGGAGACCGGCTGGCAACAGTTTGGCATTTTGACAGATTCATAAATCTTCGTCAAAGCCTACGTGCTCTTTATTGGCGACGGCCACATTCCCGTGACACCACCGGCGACACACCAATGAAAATACATTTTTTTACCGATGTGTAGTTGTGTGCTCTATGGGAGTTGGAAAAGCTTTGCCGTGATGATTCACGTACAGCTTGAACTTTCGAGTCAACGCGAAGCGACTTACAAGATTGTACCAGATTAATTAGTTAGGCCAATCAGAGAGCGGCTTGTTTTTTTACCATTTTCTCGACGTATTAAATCCAGCCTTGTATATACGCGTGGACACATTCTGTCGGCACTAATCATTGACTACTAGTATACGTTTGTTTAAAATGAAGTCATGTCACAAGCTAATACTGGTTATGCGATTCGGTGGCCAGCTAAAATATTTGCGCTAAAGACCCTGACGGATAGCCTCTGTATGATGGACGTACTCACAGTGAAACTAACAAAGTATTAGTTCATCCGGTTTCTTTGTAACAAAAAAAGAAAAAAAGCAATAAAAAAAAGCGCTTTTCAAAATATTTTCAGACTCTGGTGCGTAGGAATCCAAATCTATAATCCACCCTTGAGCGATTTTATTCATAAACGATATACTGAAAGCAGCATAATAAATAAAGCATAATGCGATCTACGAAAAGCTATTTACTAGTATGGCGAGCAATATCCATATAATGAGCGATTATATTTTCAATGTCAATGAATTAAAACACGCTATTTTTCATGTATATTAGCTGGGATCAATATTAAAGTAGGGCGACTTGTAAAAGTCTCGATATAATGCTATAAGTAGCATGGAATGCAAACTCAGTGAATGAGAGTGCGGATGCAGAGCAATGGAAAACGCTGAGTGTGTTTTATTGACGATCGATGGATGGTTAGACAAATACCAATCTGGCACGATTTAGATGTGCGGTGTTTGAACTAGATAGCAAGCAAAATGTCATTATTTTGAAATGTAAAACCAAATGCACATATACCAGTACAGAAAAAGACCCTTGATCAGATCGGGATGTAATGAATTGTCATTGGTCATGTTAAGTAACGGTAACGTTGACACCCGTCCTGACCTCTTCATTTCGATGTTTCGTTATATCCAGCGATTGACTCGTTCGGTATTACACGGCAATGTTTTTGACTGAAGGCACCCCGGCCGCCGGTCACCTTTGCCATACATACCTACCACTCGGGACTCATAGGCCGCATGAAGTCCTCATGTGAACTTGAAACACCTTGGATTTGGCCATGATCTGAGTTGAGTTTATGTGAAGAAAACATGGTCACCGTGGTAACATTATGTTTATTAATGTAATACACGTGACAGTAACAGTGCTACACGCAACGAACTCCCCTAACCATCGATTCATAGCACCCGTTCTTTTATGTCACGTGATTTTGTGGCATTTACTCGGTGTCGATCGTCATGGCAACAATACATCCATCAAGATGATTCTTATTTTCTTATATCACTAAAAACAGATACAATCGATACGGATCAGCTATGTACCCTGGTCACCATGGCACCAGTTGCTATCAAGTACCACGCGACAAAGTGATTATGACCGGATTATGTTGAACCACGTGACTTCTGTGTAAAAAGTCACACAAGGTTACCTCGTTAACGCTGAACATCCGCGCTGTCCCCGGTACCCAATTTGTTTTCTCGAACTGCCCCAGTTGCGTCACATAGTAGTTTCAGACGTGTAAATTCATATAAGGGTACATTTTAAGGTAGCGAGAAAGGAAAAAATCTTTTTTTCCAATATTATTTTTTTGCAGCCGAAAATTCTTATAGCTAAGTAAAAAATCTAAATTTCCTTAGAATATTACTCAAATTGGTGTTTGAAATATATCCAAACAAACGAGCACTTCTATGTTTTTGCGTTATGCTTGGCTTTGTGGAGGCTTAGATGAAGTGTACATTTTATTGTTAAACAAATAACTAGCTAGTATGTAAATGTGTTCCTCCATGTCAATATGTGAAAAACAGAGGTTTTGAATGAGATAACAGAATAACAGAGAAAGAATTCTTTATTCACAAATTTCATAACACCCTTCTCGCTACCTTACAGCGCGATGGTCGTCGCGCAGCGCGTGTTCGAATTTCATGTAAATAAACAATGTATTTTACACGCGTTGTATACGTCGCTATGAGTCCCATATCGAACAGAACGCGGCACGACGACTGCTGCCCTTTAAACACCCACACAGTTTTATTCGACCAAAAACGTTGACCCTCCCCTAAAATATCGGACTGGTTAAGTTAAAACAGTTAAACCAAATACCAAATAACGGCGGCCATTTTTAACACATGGTATACGGTGTGGAAATTCCTAGCAAATATGCTCGACGTATAGGGCGAGCAAATAATCGTGTAGTCAATTTCAACATTTAGTTTCAAAAAAATAGGTTAACATCAATTCATTGGTCTATGTACTTTTATTCAAAAGATAGTTTTATGAATAACTGATAAATACCTTCCCTTATACACTAATTTAGACATGAAATATATTCAGAACTCTTTTTTAAACGATTTTATCACGCATTATGTGTTTTTATAAGTTTCTACTTTACGCTCTGGAGCATGAATAAAATCAATAGGCAATGACCTAATAAACTATATAACTAGACCCCTTGTATGTACTAGTGTGTCGACTTGTAGACATTTAATTTAACATATTCAGTTTAATTTCATTTATTGGATGTCGATGCATCAACTCTATTGAAACAAACTCCCCCGCAGAGCTCCCCAAGGAAATTACCGTGTCCTTTCTTCTCGTCAACTTATTACATTGTACAAGGCAATAAATATCACCATGGTGAATTTTTTGATCATTTCAAGGACGTTTAAACAGCCTTTAAATTTTTCTTTTTTCATTGATATGTGCGCGTCGTGCATCAGCGAAACCAGGATAACCTAGGTGCCGTAAAGAGGTTGCGGTTTTACGACCGTGACGATTGGAGGTAATGGATTACTAATAATAAAAACATTATTTTGATATTCTTGAAATTTGCTAGATCTCGCTTCGAGATTATAATTTTGAAAATCAACAAGTGCAAGTTGGTTTGGTAAAATCGGTCACGTGACCGTATAACATCATGGGACGACTGTATGTGAAAAGACCATCATGTATGATATGACGTACAGCTCGGAAAAGTAATGCTAGGAAAAACAGTCCGTCAGCGGAAGCAGAATACGAATAACGCGGCGACGATTGAAAACTTTTATATTCTGCATTTCCCACACCACTCCCAAATACACACAATAAAATAAAACAGCTCAAGTTGTTTATTAATCATGCAAAGGTGTCTATTTTAACGAGCTTCCTGATACAAACAATGGCATCAAACGATGACCCGCCATTTAATATAATCCCACTATTATCACACTGTATAGAATACCTACTCGTATACCAGGTTATTATAATAACCTTTGTATAGAAATCAATGTGATGACTGTGAGACTGAACAATCCACCTAGAGACGACGACAGTTCACAGGATAGGGCGGGCTACACACGTGATATTACGCTGATATATTGGTTTTGTGTACTAGTATTTAGTTTAAAAAGCAGCTTATACTACCGTTTATACAATCAATTATCTAATTATCGTTGATTCAGATCTTAAATTCGGGACTTTTCATTTGTTTTTCAAATTAAGGATTAATATTATTATTTAGAAAATTAACCTTAAACAGGTTAAGATAATACATCACCAGTTTAGCGCGATTTCGTGTATACACCATTTCAGAATAGTTTTCCTTCCTATTTATTATGATTGTAAATAGACCGATTGATTTAATTCAATTCTTGCCAATAAAAAAAGGACCGTGAGTGAAAACGTCAATTTTGCCGTACGCAATAAAATCATGACAATGTGTCGAGAACAATACGTCATAAGATAAGATGCTCTTTCAGTACAGAGAACGGTACCAAACATATTTGTGTTTATTGAGGCGGAGCTGTGGCAACAACCACACCACTAGCTGTGAGCCTGGTGTTCGGTGGTTGAAGTCTCAACTGGAAACAAATTCTCCATAGACGATAACATTTGAAAAGCAGGTTTATATTACGCATATGATCAATGAGTCCCGAGACCAAAATGTTACAGGGAAAAACAGCTCAGTTTGACAATAGAATAGTGACACTGTCAATTTTTAATTAAAAGAAGTAAAATAAAGTAGTCACGATGCTTAGTCATAGCATGAACAAAGGAGGTCAGAGAAACTGAAGTCCCACTAGTCGTCGTCCGGTGTTGATAAACACGCACCATCGTTTGCCAACAGATCCCTTTTTATACAATATTATACCAGCTGCACAGTCACTTGGGGGCTGAAAATAAATAAATACTAATTTTTATATACGTATAGCGGATGATTTTTTTTTTTAAATTAGTATTTATTGATTTTCAGCCCCAAGTGACTGTGACCAGCTGTACCCTTAATAAGCTAAGCTGTCCAATCATTGTTTCAGCAAACAAAACAAAATGTTCTACTCTGTTCGTGTTGCACTGTCGAGCTGAATCGATTTCCGCTGTAAGAAGTTGAAATTAGTCGACACTAGTTGCATTAAACAGTTTCGTCACGATTCTCATATGTGCACAATACATTACAGTTTGGAAGTCAAGCGTGGTACCCAAATCCTATAAAAGAATGACACGAAGTGTCGATATCGTTTTGATCTGTAGTCGTCCGTCAATGAAATATTATGTATTTGAAATAGTATACTATATTTCAAATGACGAACGACTAGACGACTAAATACAGTGGTCAGCGACAATGCCTTCACCCAAATACTCCATATTGACTTCACAGAAGCACTTCATCACTAGAGGGCGCGACTTTTAGGAATAATGTATTGTAGTGTTTTGTACGACACGAAATCGATAACGGTACACTCAGTGTGGTAGTGTTCCAAATGATCTCAGTCTTTTGAATACCGATCTGCACTAATTAAAGTCTTTCAAAAATCCGATGAAAATAGGGAACGATGTTGAATTGATTCGGTTGACAAAAAAACACCATCTTCGGTTGTTCAGTATTTGGACAGATCTTTTGATACAGAGTAGAATGAGCGGTAACAATAAGTAATATGTTTGTAGAGTCCGGAATCTGCATCCTGAAGTGTGATATACACGTCTAATGAGCCATGAACTCCGACGAACAGCAATTTAAATTAGGTAGACATGTCACGTGACACATCAGGTTATGAAAATCAAATTCAATGTCCATGTCCGTATAATGGCGCTGGAGCAAAATATTCATCTCCGCAGAATACATAACTGTTCGTTCCCATTGCCCACTAGATTATCTCACAAAGGAAAATCCGAGAACAGTTTTCACTTTGAATGACGTTGTTTCGACCTATATACGTAATTTTTAAGAAACTTGTCACCATATAATACTTTGGACTGTGCACAACATTCGCGAATAAAACAAGCAACAGACTTTTAATGAGTTCGACCTTGTATGTACACATTGTCAAGGAAAACGCTTCAAAACAATTAAAAAATCCGCCACCGCGTTCATAAAATGACTCATTACCGATGTGCTCGTAACTACACAGTTTTTAAACAATCGCCAATATTGTAGAGCTACTAGTATTTAATTCATCTCTTTAAAATGAGTGACTATATATCCATTTTAATAAGGTGCGTGCTAAATAAACGCATGAGTTAACACGTGATTGATAGGTCGTTCTATTAATATAACGTTCACCACGGCATCCCGCCGTTCAAGTGTTAACACTTTTGTAAATTGTATTGGAGACCAACGCATAATTCCGCAAGCGTACCTCTTCGCGCTTGCCTCGGTCAATTTAACACCGTTTTGTATTGTGTTCTTTTAGGCTGCGTGTGTTACCGTGACTGGTGAAGGGATGGTGTGACTCTGAAGAAGAAAAGTACTCCACAACTTCACACTGAAAGAGGAACTTGTAAACATGCAACCGACTGGGTGTACGGCGAACGACGAACGTGGTAAGCGAGACACGGGGATTCCGGAGGAAGCCAACAACGGCGAGTTGACGCCAGATGATCAATCAATGAGCGATGATACGATACAGCAGTATGAGAGGGAGAACGGTTACTATGGCGATCAGTATGATGCGGATGATGAGGAAGACACTTTCTCTGAGCATGAACATGATACGCTGATGGAGAAATACCAAAACCTCTTCGACGAAAAGCCGCCATTTCAGATCAAGAGCATCATGGTTACGGAAACGAATTACATCGGCGATGGCGAGTGCGTGATTGAGAGTTTTGATCACGTGGATGTTGACGTCATGCTAGTCCTGGACAATATAGCCATAAAGGATGAAGAAAAAGACGCGTTTCAGGAAGTGAGCCAGGATATTCCCGGGTTTGCATGCGTGCAGTTGCGGAGAGAAATGGTGGCTATGTGGAAACATTTTGAACTTTACTTGACGGAAGGTGACTTTGATGGATTTTACATGTCGGCGCGAAAGATGCAGAAGCAGGTGTTTGAATCGCATCGCAAGCTGTTCTCTAACTCTGTGCTGGATCAGGAAACGTTGTCTTCTTTCATAGCCAGCCACGCCGGATTTAGAATGCCCGATGAGAACATGGAGGCTCGAGCCGATTTAGTCATCAGTATACCCTGCGACGGGTGGCCATCTTGCGCCGAGAAATGGTTCGGCCGACCGCGTAACTGGCCATCGCGGCGAACAGCAGAGCGCATGCGACGAGTTGGATACCATCTAACGGCGAGGTCATTGAACCCGGAATGTGATAGACATGGGATTCTTTTCCGCATCTCCATGGCTCAAGTGGAGAAAGAACTGATGCGGTTATTGACGGACAAACACATGTTTATTTATCAGTGTTTAAAATCAGTTATGCGTAAAATAACGGACGAGTACCCAGCGATACGCCCAGCACTTCACCCGTATCATTTGAAGACTGTTATGTTGTGGGCGTGTGAGAAACACCGGGGAATCTACTGGCAGGACACCCCTGGGGCGGTATGCGTTCTTCATCTTATAGACGACTTGATGAATTGTCTGCTGAAAGGGTTTTGTCCAAATTTCTTCATGCCACAGTATAACCAATACAGTCACGTAAACAAAACGTGTCGTCTCGAAGCAGCGAGGAAGATTCAACTTTTCCGTCAGCGACCGGAAATATTACGCGAATGCCTGACAAGGTTTGGATTTCTAGACGCGGAAAACGTGGACCAGATTGTAGACACTCGGCGGCATAAAGCTACTCTTAAGTTGTCTGAGTTTCTGGTCTCGTTGGACCCCCTCCTCTTTTCCGAGAGTTCGACCGGGTCTGAGTTTACAACGGAAAGCACCGAACGACTTGATGATGAGGTATTCGAGAAACCACCTGTTGAGCACGTTCCGGGGAGTCAGAAAGAAATAGAGCCAACGCAGATGATGGAGAAATCACAGTTGTCACAGCAATCGCCTCTAAATCCCCGCCATGCTGTTCCACACCGACCCGTGTCAAGCTACAGCTCTCGCAGTTTTCTCTCGCAGACTGAGAGTGTGGGAACGAGAGACGAATGGACGATGATCTGCAGGACTTTCAACCCGCACAAGAAACAACAGATGAGACTTCACCGACCGACGACGACCGCACGAATTTTTCACACTCCAACGAAAGAGCAAATCTTCGAAAGGTTGCGGAAAGAACTTCATCGAAACACAACGGTGAAACTCGGCAAAAAACCAAGTAAGTTTACCAACCCTGATACTACAGAACTGTACGATTTGGAAAAGTCTTTATCGTTTCAAGACAAGCTTAACGAATCGACCTCAACGCTACGAAGTTTCTCGGCCAACAACAGAGGGCAGCAGCAGAGCCGTTGCAGTACTGTATCTGCGCCATCACGCCTCGACCCAGTTACAGGGAAGATCACGTTTCCAAGTCTCCGACCCCAATCCGCGCCGGCTTTGACGCGATGGTCACGCGTTCTGATTAACGGGACGTACAGTATCAATAGGTCGCCGCTGTTGATCTCTGACACACCGGTATCTGGTATGGATCACGGTTTTGTAATAAATAAAGAGAACGGTTGGTGAGCTGTGGACAGCTTGTAAAAAAATGAATGGTTCTAAGATCCAACTCACAGTACTATTTCCTCAAATAATTTACCTCGATGGCGAGAACACAATCAATTATATTTTTAATATCGTCAGGCAGTATAAAATATTAAACTATGACAAAATGCATATCACGAATTTTCAAGGTTTTGGCAATGTGCAATGCCGGGATAATCTGGTACACGCTGAAAACGGCTTAGATTATTTTGTCTTATTGCTCGGGAGTTACCTATGTCAAAAGTTATCTTTGTAGTTTCGGTAGTTTGATCATGACAGTTTCCGATTGCATTCAAACATTTTCGCCATCAGAGCTTTATTTTCACTTCGGAACTCATTAGTGCCGTAAATAAGACATTTTGATAACACGACTGTGGGCACTTGCAGACTCGGTTTGCAGAAAATGTCGAGATTTTAATGTGATAAAATACATAAGGTGCGTTTAGAAAATAATCATGCGTTTGTTTTAATATAGCTTGTATTCCAAACAAAGACGAATACTGAGTGAAAAAAAAAAAAAAACAATCCGAAAGCAATATGCGATACGCCTGTCTGTCCGCCTGTCCGCCTGCCTGCTGCCTGCCTGCTCGTCCGTCCGTCCGTCTGTCTGTCTGTCTGTCTGTCTGTCAATCCAAGCCCAGATAATCCGTCCATGTATTCAAAAGTATTGATTTCACAATTACTTGTACAATACATTTTAGTTCGAACTATACTAATCATTAGTTTCAAATCAAATGTACGTATTTTTGTGACATGTTCAATGACGTTTTCTCTTTGCGCCAACAGCAACTGTCGGTATTACCTATTTGTTGTACCCTGTTAATGCAGTACGTTAAGGGGGTGTATAACTTGTGTAATCTAATCCAACACAGTAATTGTAATTGTTGCGTTAGATTGTGGTCAATCGCCAGCAGGCAAGTCATATTCATGTGACGAATAGAATGCGCATGCGTGTGTAATTGTCAGTACGTATCAGTAATTCAGAGGACATGCGCAATGTTTCATCAAACGAGCACAGTATTTTTGTTGTGACCTTGGACAATTAAACACATGATGAAGTGTTGACAGAAGTATAGGTTTATTCAATCGCGTTCCTCTAAATTTAACGCTAATTTATAAACATAGTTCAACAAGAATGTGTGATAATCAATAAGACTATGTAGAATATTGTAATAGATGTTTGAGTATATCTCATCTCCTTTATCGGTTGACAAAACTTTTGTGTTTGTATTTTACTATATAGTTTTATCGCTATTGGCGATTGAAATATATACACAATATGTGGGGTCCCAGTTGATAAAACTTGTTTTTCCTATATCTGAAATGCAAAATCGTACCGTTACAAGAAATTGCCGTAGTATGCCAAACCAATCTAAAAGGAGTACGGGAAAAAAAACAGTAGACTAAACTATGTATTATATCGGAAACACAGCCGATATGGACAATGCTTTTTTTTTTTGGGGGGGGGGGGGTATCAAGTGTAGTACAAACAGCCATGGCGTCATCCAGCCACATCATAGCCTTAAAGCGCGGTGGTCGTCGCGCAGCGCGTGTTCATATTTCATGTAAATAAACAATGTATTTTACACGCGTTGTATACGTCGCTATGAGTCCCATATCGAAAAGGACGCGGCACGACGACTGCCGCCCTTAAAGTCACATTACTGGCTAGCACCGACTTTGAAAGTGTCTTTTTACAAACGGAAATTTTTTTTTTTCGTTAATAACATTTAAAAGAAACATTCTGCGTGATTCTGCGCCACTGTATGTTAGCAAAGTGCACCAAGCGTCATCGAACTGCACTTCGCATTTTTTACAAATACATTTTGAGAAATATAATGATTAATTAAATAATTTGTAAATTTTATATTGCTATCAATGTATTGTTCAAATGTTTACTACATTTTTTTTTGTAAAATGTAAATGCAAGGTTCAGTCTTCAATTTTTATTAAAAAGGCAACACAGATGATAAAAGTGTTTATGTGATCGTTATTTCATGTTGATTTACAAATCAAATTGAATATGAATGATGTATTTTTCGATACGTACCTTATATTATACATAATTTATCGACGCATATGAATCCTTGCTTATTAAGAAATTACGATTACGGATGTTTCCAAGATGGCGTATTTCAAAACAAAGATCATTTGCTGGTTCCGGTGTCACGTGGTGACTCTGTCCTAGCACGTTATCACATTCTCCATATTTGTTCATCGTACGTAGTTATTTGGTGTATTAATTCTTAGAACAGTTATCTATCGCGGAAACACTGTCACTTGACAGGTTAATGTCTGATAATGAAACACTGGAAAACCTTTAGTGCCTTTTGAATGTGTACATAGGCAGGTACCCTGGGCGGCGGCACGGATAAATAGAATACTAATATTGACGTTTACCGGAAACTGATTATGATTTTCACCACCTCAGTGGAGGTGGAATTAGATACGAGGTCGACAGCTCTATATTTTCGCCATTTTCTTGTGGTTTGTGTGGCAAAAAGTGATGAAAGTTTCTATCTCACAAGAAAAGGGCAGCTGACGAGAACTGGCACAAGCTGCATAAGTGCTATGGAAATACAGCTAAAGTCGAAACTGATCACTCACTACTAATAACACGCCCTCTATCGGTATCTTACCCATAACATTGTTTTTTATGTGGGGCCCCAGTTGATAAAACTTGTTTTTTCCTATATCTGAAATGCAAAATCGTACCGTTACAGGAAATTGTGTTTTGCAGAGTGACAGATGTGGCACTGTTACAATGTCTTACTGCAACATTCCCTACACATAAATTGGTTGAGGGACTGATCATCTAACGGGGACGAACACAAAATCATCATTGGATGATACGGATGCAGCCGGGCCATCTCAACAGGTCACCGTATTTCCGGTTTATCGAAATAAAATTATATCCTAGGAAATACTGGTCCAACAACCTTCAACGTATTGACCAAAAATTTACTTAAAATTACGTCCAGAATGAGGAATTTATGCTTGAGTTGCGTCCTCACAGATAACTGCATAGTTTGCAGTCGTCCCAGAGGGCGCAATTCAAGCCCATATTTGTGACAATGTTGCTATAGTTGCGATAATAAACATAATGAAACAGATTTAATTGATGTATTCTAAACAGTTTGTGTGCCAATTTGAATGATTGGTTGGCATTCTCGGTCACAATAAATCTTTTTTTTAGTAGTCAAACATAAGTTTATCACCTATAGTTGTACTTTTATCTAGAGAGATTTATGTATTTTATTAATACCTCATTGACCATCCATCTGCTTCAAACAGCTAACCTTGGTAGTTCGCAACCACTGTGCGTCTACCATAACTACTAACTCCTTGTAGCCAATGCTGATCCTCCACAGTATAGCCGCAGCCTTCGCTGCCTGTACCTCAGATTGCAGTCACGCTGCAATCTCTCATTACATTACAGCCCTCGCAGATGAAGCTTCATTACTAACACAGTTTTTTGAGTTGTGTATTATTTCAGAGTTCTCGCATTCACATGGTGGGGGCTCATAACATGTCCATCCTGGTATATTTCTTGTAAGCCAATGGATTTTGTTGTGTGCCACCCTGTTTTGTCAAAGTAATAAACTATATTTTTCATGAACACTGGAGTTCAGTTGAAACAGAAACAAAACTGGGATATTATCAATAACAGAATCAGTGTTATCAAGCATGAATTTGTTTCAAAGGTTGAACTATTTTGATGTTTTGAGCAATTTCAGGGTTTTAAGTTTACAAACTGGCTTGGCATGGACATTGTTATTCTAATTTAATTTACCCAATTTTAATTATCAACGAAAACAGAAAAATTAAAAACCCGTAAATTATTAATGAATTAAACCCCTCAATTTTCTCTGATTTACACAGAACAAGTCTATTCATAGTGCAAACTAATTGGTTGAAGATATACTTTTTCAATACTATATTAATATCACACTTTGGCTTCAATCATTCGTATTGTACTGGTGGGTCAAAAGTCGCCCTGACCATTGTAGAATTCTGTGCAGGCATTGTGATTTAATCAAATTAACAATCATTTGAGATTTATAAAAAAAAAAGTTAAATAAATCTTGAATATAAAAACTTTCACGGCTTTCAGTAATTCAGTGTATAATTTTTCACTGTACTTTCAACACTTTGTAAAAGTAAACTTTTAATCAACAACTGCACTGCCTAAAATGAGCCTTGTCTGCTTGCATAGTTTCATATAAAGTCGTAAATTAAGTTTTCTGTGAATAATACATAAAGGCAGTAAATTTACCTTGTAAATTCAAGAAGTCAGAAACAAGACTAAGATGACAAGACAGTCTTGTGATCAGATGTCATTTTTTTATTGATGTATCGAATTAAACCATAATCATTATTCACGAAGTACAGGATTATGCATTCAAATGTTCATTTTATTTTATTTTATTTTAAATCATTGAAGTTTTGGTTAGTTATACAGACCGCCAGAAAGTATTTACACCCCTGTCATTTGATCCGGGTAACATGTGTTGTCTTTAAAATATACTTATTACAAGAGAAACTGGTGCATTTTAGTCAAAATAAAACGATTGATTTGTGTTTAGTTTGTATGTATGTAGGAGTTTTTTCAGTGAGCGAAAATCCTCATGGTTAACTCTAAGTTCATTTGCATATCATTTGCATCTCATTAAAATTTTGCACTATAAAGCATCTGGGACAGTCGTGTCCTTTCTCATGCAAATTTGAACTGATTAGAAAGCTGAAATTATTTCAAAACGTGCTTCTGGGCAGGAATACCTGTCAATTGTAGTTCATGAATATTCATATCAAAATTTAGTGTTTATGTACGTGTGAATGTAGCCTGGAATCCAGCCATGTTTAGAAATCTAATAACGAGTCAGTGAATTGAAAAGCAAATACTCAAAAGTATTTATATAATAGTCATGACAGAAGTTCGTGTCATCAATGATTGGTCGTCTCCATGACTTCTGTATATTATCATGGGAGTATGCATACAAACGTGAATATAACTGAAAATATCTGTACAATACAGGTTTTGAAATATGCAAACCTGTTAATATAAATGAATAAAGTACAGTCAATATCATTCTGTTTGGAAGCATTGCATTTTTTTTTTTGAAAATTACATGTTGATGTGAATAAAATGAAAATGTACATTTCACTGTCCAATAACTATAGAGTATTTAATTTAATACATCTGTGAATGGACGACCTATTGATTACCGGTCAGAACAGTCAAAGGATTTCCTGTGACATCACATAACACAGAGTATAGACAATTTAATTTGGATTCAATTTGATAATTATCGTATTGTCGCTCCTTTTAGAGTCTTCACTTTAATAATTCCTAATTTTGTCATAAAAGCGGAACCGTTCCATTCAGCAACACACTCTGACGTTGTTCTAAAATCAGCCTAAAATAATGAAGAGAAAAGCATTTGACCATAATTTTATTAGTCAGTAACATCGAGTAATGTTTT